CCCCTCCCCCATTTCTGAAGAAGGGTCTAGGCCTGAAACGTCAGCCTTCCTGCTCCTCTGATGCTGCTTGGCCTGCTGTGTTCATCCAGCTCTACACCTTGTTATCTCAGATTCTCCAGCATCTGCAGTTCCTACTATCCTTGTAAATCTTTTCTGCACCATCTCAGTATAACAACATTTTTCCTTTAGGAGGACAACCAGAATTGTGTGCAGTATTCTAAAAGTGGACTCAACACAACATGATATCCCAACTCCTACACTCAATGTTATGACCAATGAAGACAAGCATACCAAATGCCTTCTTCACCACCCTGTCTACCTGCGACTCCATTTTCACAGGACTGTGCCCCTGCACCCCTAGGTCTCTTTGTTCAGCATTTCTCCCCAGGGCTGTACCATTAACTGTATAAGTCCTGTCCTGGTTTGCCTTACCAAAATGCAACACCTCAAATTTATCTAAATTAAACTTCAGACACTTTTCAGCCCTTGGCCCATCTGATCATGCCTAATGGCTTACGTAGCTACTATACTTTACGGTTTTGTACAAGAAACCAATTAGTCAGGCATACAGTGTGATGCATTTGCATTTGTACATGCTGGAAGCTATATATTATATATATAAAAAAATACAGAGGACCCTACTTTATTGTGGCAGTGGAATTTTGTACATGCATTGCACCTTTTTGTCAAATCACTACAACATCACTGTTGTATCCTTCGACATCCTGACCTATCAGAATCTGCATGCTCTGAGAATTTAATTGATAATTGCTTTTGCTGCATCTCCACTCCAATGATAGCTCAAACAATCAGCACCTTCTTCTGAAATTGTATAAAATGGTGTCCCTTTGTTCAAATCTTTTTCTTTAATTATATTTCTAATGAGCAAAACAAAATGCTTCAATTTCTTGTCTCCTTTTTACAATGCAGAGCTTCATCAGCCTAGCATGTGTGTCCAGGTGCTCAAATGGGACCTAAAACATTCCTTATAATTGACAGGATAGCACTAGCAAGACCCTATGTCATGGCAGGGTCAAAGGGACGCCCATGAATATATGTTGGGGTGTTTACGTTGTGAAGAGATTTGGAGAAGGTAAGAGGGCAGTGAACTCAAAGGAGAGAGAACATGACGAATTGAGGTGGAGGTTCAAATCAGTGAGGATGAGAAGTAATTCATTACGAAACTGGGGAGGAAAGCAGTGAAGATATTGCAGAAGGCTTTTTTTAAAAAATCATACTTGAGGGCAGTACAAAGTTATAATTTTGTAAGAAAAGCAAAAAGATGAACCAAGGGAAGAAGCTCAAAAGAGGAGGAGGTGCCACAGGAGTAATAGGTCATGTCAAGGTCTAGTGAGGAGTTAAAAATGAGGGGTGGTCTCACAGAAACCTATAAAATTTTAACAGGACTAGAAAAGCAGGAAGGATGTTCCCAATGACCAGGGAAGGCCAGAGCCAGGGGTATATAGTATAAAAATTGGCAAGTCATGTGGCAGCTCAATGGAACCTTAATTAGGCCATTTTTGGAATCGTAGTCGCCACACTACTAGAACGATGTGGAGGCTTTAGAGAGGATACAGAAATGATTTACTGGATGTTGCCTGGTTTGGAGGGTGTTAGCTATAAGGAGAGATTGGACAAACTTGGCTTTTTTTTCGCTTGAACATTGAAGGATGAGGGGTGACCTGATGAAAGTTTATAAAATAATGAGAGGCATGGACAGAATGGATAGTCAAGTCTTTTCCCAGGGTAGAATTGTCGATTACTAGGGGATATAGGTTTAAGGTAAAAGGGGGTAAGTTTAAAGGAAATGTGAGAGGCAAGTTTTTTACACAGAGGGTGGTAAGTGCCTGGAATGCGCTGCCAGAGGAGGTGGAGGAGGCGGATACAATAGCAATGTTTGAGAGGCATCTTGGCAGATATATGAATAAGCAGGAAATAGAGGGATATGGACTACATAGAGGCAAAAGGTTTTGTTTAGAAAGGCATTGTGCGTCAACGCAATCTTGGTGGGCCAAAGAGCCTGTTCCTGTTCTTTATTCTTTGTTCACAGTCCAAGGTAATGGGGTAGGCTATTTAGTATGGAGAAATTTTTCACCACAGAGTTGTGAACCTGGGAATTCTCTGCTACTGAAAGTGGTTGGAGGCCAACACATTGAATGTTTTCAAGAAGGAGTCAGATATAGTTCTTAAGGCTAAAGGGACCAAAGGGTATCGGGAGAAAGTGGGAACAGGGTACTGAGCTCAATGATCAGCCACAATCACACCGAATGGTGGAGTAGATTCATAGGCTGAATGGCCTACTCCTGGTCCTACTTTCTATGTTTCTATAGTGCAAAAGGCCACATCACCACTGTAATTGTGTTGATAGGCCAATTTGTGGAAAATATGGGCAGATCAATAGGCTTCAGTTAGGAGGAAAGTGTTATCACCCTTCAGCTGGATTTCTGCCAAAACCATGATGTTAATACAATTTTTTTACAGGAAGCTCATGGATGATGATGCTCATGTTTGCAATTGAATGGGCATTCCAGATGAAGATGTGTGCAAGGGTGCTGATAGCTTATACACTGGCAGAGTCCACAGGGTCAGCATGGGAGACGATAGTTAGACAGGAAGATTAGTGAATTTAGTCACTAGGGCTGGGATGGTGGAAGAAAGAGTGTGATGGAGCAATTGGGATTGGTATTTGAATGAGCCAGCACCAAGTGACTCAATGACCAGATGAAAAATACTAAGAAAGGCACAGAGGGAAGATGTAGGCTTATTTAACTGGGAGTCATGCTTGGGATGGCAGAAAGAAAGTCAGAAAATTTAAAAGTACTGAAGGACTGGAGTAGGAAACTAGAAAGGCCATAGTACTGGAGAGTGGAGAAATGGAGAGAGGCACAATGATCCAAGAGAGTTTTGGAAATCCATGGGAAATAAAGTTTAAAGGAAGAGCAGAAGTGGAAATACATAAAAAAGATAAAATTTTTAAAAAGGGATCAACTTAATTCTTACCCATAGTTTTGATAATGAATGTTTAATTCATTAATATTTTGGTCTTAATTAATGATAACTTTCTTTATCTACTTCATGTGAGCTATTTTTAGATCCATCTTATTAAGTATATTGTCGAGAAGGTGTTTTATTGAGGTTGACTATAAAGATAGAGCTGCAAGCAAGACATGTCAGAAAAAGGTCACACAATCAAATAAATCCTTCTGAAGTGGCAGACTGGGCTGTCTTATTTATTTTGGACAAGTAACTTAATTTAACACAAAATAATTCTATATTAATTTACACCCTCAACTCAACACCCACACCCCTAGGTGGTAGTGATCTAACCAAGGTAAAACATTTAGTTTTGCAATAAATTGGAAAGAACCCTCTTTATTATGTTAAGAAGAGTTAAATCTTTTAATAACCACAGTACTATCAATACTGGGGAAATGAGAGATTTTGGGATTTTTGAATGGAATTTTTGATTCACAACAATGAAAATGTCTAAATTTATGCAGCTGCTTTTCAAAATCAAGATAGCCTCACTCCAAATGAATCAGACTGTTATCTTGGAAGGTATTACTGTTTGGTTCTCTTACCTGTTTCCTGTCAGATTTAATTCGCTTCTTCTTGATTCCTAATAAATTCACCGAGACAAAGAAACATCTGATAGACACAAAAGCCTCCACACCAGTCAGTACCAGGCTTGGAATCCACATTGCAAGAGTGGTATCCTGGGAGACAAAGTATAGATTAAATGCTGTCTCCTGTGTAAAAAAGGTTAATACCTTAGCTGAATTACAGCAGGCTGCAAACTAAAACGTTGAGAGGTTGCAGTGGTGTGAATTAAGATTGACTGTGTAAATGATATTAGGCTTTCTTTCTTTCCTATCTTCATCTTCCTTCTTAAGGCCATGCCAACACATATTCCTGCATTTTCAACAGGAGTAAAAACTGAAAGATAAGTGAGCTAGATGAATATTTTTGACCTTACCTCATTCCCCACATACTCCACCCCACTAAATCTGCCCTCCCAGGATGGGAAGACCAAGTTTTGTTGCTCAGTTCTATGTAGGTCTATGTTATTGGACAAATATAAGACACCCATTTAACGGGATCACAAATATGTGACCAAAAGCTCAGTCAAAGAGAGAGGTTTTATGGAGTACCTTAAAGAAATAGAGGCTGAAAGGTTTAAAAGAGAGAATTCTAGAACTTGGGGCCTACATCCGCATGGTCACAACTGTGTCAATGAGGAGCAAGAATCCTGGATGACACTTGTTCCCATCTAGTATGAAACAGAGGCTAACTATCCAGCAACAATCAGCTCACCAGACCTCCTCAGCTCAATAAGGGGTATTTACTGTAGATGACTGAGGTCTCACCCACCAGCGAGAGAACTGGCAAGAGCCCCAGCTGTCCCATTTTGTGATGCCTGCTGCTATTATGTGTCTTCCCTGGAATCAAGAACCCTGAACAGAAGTTCTGCTAACCAGAGGCCACCAGCTGTGTACCACTTAACTGTGCTAGTGTGAGTGATGGCAAGACTACTGAGGGAGCCCAGCCCCAAGCGAGTGATGGTGGGTGGGGGTTGTACTGAGATTGGTGAAGGAGGTCTGCGGGAAGGGCAGGGGTAGGTGGCTTTCAGCAGGCCTTTCCCTGATCCCCTTCCCAATGCCTCGGCCTTTGATCAAACACTGAGCATCTTTAAATGAAGACTGAATACCAGCAGCAACGGGAACGAGTATTAACTATGTGCCTCAGTTGGCAACGAGGTGGGAAGACCGTCCATGAGCTATTCCCAACTTGGACTTTATCAGAGTGGAGCAGGAAGGTGATAGGGTCCACACTCACCCCTTCCCATCTAACAGAATGCTCCCCATCACCAAACCTACCTGAGGGGAGGGTATTAATTGTCACCCCGTTTCTCAGCACAACACTACGTCAGCTTCAAGGTGAAAGCTGGATGGGACTTCGAGACATATTTAACTGAAGTGAATTATCTCAATTGTCACTCACTAACTTTCAGCGGAGTAGGCAGGAGGAAAAACTTACACAGAATAGAAGTAGAATCATGAAGTGCAAGAGAGAATTGAGTTCATCAGAGTACAGCAGGAAACCAGATCACAACCAGTACTGAGACAGCAGCATTAAAGGTGGGATATCTGCCAGAAATATTCTCCAAACAAGTTTGCTACTTGTTCCTATTCAGCTCTGATAGATGTATCACAGCTCTCCCTTTGTGTTTTGCAGTTTCTTTGCCAATTATTTTATCACCTCTGCTTCTACACACCCTCACCCTCACTGAGAATTAATTGTTTTGCAAAATGTGATTCAGAATGTGTTTGTTGTAAAAACAAAGAGCCATTCTGTTGCTCTCATTTGTCACCAGGTTACTTTTTTGCAGATTAACACCACCCACAAGGTGTCTGACACAGATGATTTTCAGTAATGAAGATCACTAGAATCCAAAATGATTTGCTGTAATTGCAACAACAATGTTGTATGTTTATATAGTGCCTTTCACATTGTCAGCCATGCCTCCATTTGAGAATGACATCTACTCGGTCATGAGTTTCTGCCATGGATTCTGATTTGACGGAGCAGGCCTATTCATAACCCACAGATCTTCGGATATTTATAGCAGGATATCTCACAAAACAGTGGGCTTTGGAGTGCAAGATTTGCTTGTTTTTCTTTCCTTCTCTGTCTCATTATTAAGGTGTTTGGACTCGAAGCCTAATGTAGTTGATTGACATGTGGTTGCCATTTTGAGTGAGTGGGTAGCAAGCTCTTTCCATTCATAAAGGTCATTCTACCACACTTGAGTGAAAGCATCAGGGTATATTTGAAGGGTTTTCCTTGTCCACCCCTGCAGTACTGGCTTCTTGATAATTGAGAAAAAGAACAGGATGGTATAGCAGAGACAATTTTTAGCTAGACACCTTGCCCATGTATTAAAATTGACTTTGTAGAAGTTTTACATGAACACTTGTAGGATGTACTGGAAGAAGGACACAAGCATTAGCTCTATGGATTCAATAGGAGGACCAAATAATGCAGCATTGTTATTGCTGACGGAATTTTTCTAGTGCTTTTAACTGTTGCTGATACACAGTGCAGTTCTCACTGCAGTCCAGGAGTGTGGTGACTGTCACGACTCACTGAGGTGGTGTGTTGGAAATCAAGCCCTGCTATTCCTAGAGTCACAGAATGTAAAGACCTTTGAAAAGTATGCAGTGATTCCTCAATTTACCTGTCTTTTTAACCCAGGTTGACAGAAAGCAGACCAGGTTTCTGTACCTAACAAACACTGTTTATTAAAAGTAAATGGACTGTAGCTTTACGTAAACATTTATGGACCTCAGCATGTAACTCTATAAGTAAAACTCTAGCCTCTGTTCACAAAGTTTGCTGAGATAATTCTTGTGCCGATCAGAACATTGTTTCTCAGTCATTCTTCTTCAGATGCTTCCACAGGTTTGAAACCAAAGCTGGTTCACTTGTAAAAGGTCTCTGACTTAATTAACAGTCACAGCTTACCAAAGAACAGCTGAAAGAATGATAAACTGGTTTCTTCAGGGTTAAAGTGGCTTATTGCAGCGAAGAGAGAATGTGCTGCCAAGCTACTGGTGATCACTTCTCTATATTCTGTTCACAGCCTCAAGCTGTTCAGTTACTTGAGAACCAGTAACATGGTTGTTGGTAAGCAGAAAGCATTAGTCATCAATAACTGGTCAATAGCCTATATACCAATTAGCTGCTTATTGCTAACCACAGCTCCATCTGTATATAACCCATCAACTCCAGCTCATCTACAAACTACACTTCAATTAGTGGTGCACAAGCCGTTATATAATGCAAATGAGTGTCAGGTTACTTGCTTTCAAACACGGAACAATTTTCCAGCCACCCAAACAGTTCTTTTCTCATTTCAGTCCATAAGTAGAAATACAGAAATAAAAATATGGTCTTTACAATGACGCCAACTGTTCTGTACACTAGGACATTTGTTGACTTGTTGAAATCTTTGTTGTCAAACACTTACTGCTGCAGTCTATAGAAGAATAATGCAGGATATCCTCATCAATGGCGGCCTTTTAAAAGATACAGCTACCAAGCTATGGTATATCCTAGAGCCTTTCCTTCAACATATCTGGAAGGCAGAAAACTTGCCTGACCACCATGTGGTTGATATGAGTTTTGGCAACATTTAAGTTCAGGGCAAGTCTCTTATATGCAGAATTAAAAAGATCAAGGGAGGTTTGCAAATCTGGTCCTCAGTTGGCGACAACATTGCAATAAACTGCAAACTACAGGTCATGTATCTATGGTGATCAGTTTCATTTGGTATGGAGGTGCCTGAGACTCAAGAGTTTTCCGTTTAAGTGCTATTTAATACTGACATGAGTGAGCAGATGATCTACACCAAGGTAAATAGGCACGGTCCGGACACTAAATAGAATGGGGTTATTGCACAGTCTTGCTCAATAATAGTTAAGATTTTGAAGTCACCAGTTTTAGGTTTCCCACTCAAGACACTTCAAGTCACACCATCAGGAAGCAATTCCAGGATTGTGCTGAGGTTTCTTGGACATCCAAGTCTTTGGAGCATAATTCGCCACGGACTGGGATTTACTGAGTCAAATGTTTCATCCAAGTCGACAAGTGAGATGCAGAGTTTCTGGTGGTGTTCTTTTCTTTAATTCTTTCATGGGCTATGCATACCACTGAAAGGATCCGCATTTGTTGCCCATCGTTATTGCCCTTGAACTAACTGGCTTGCTTCACCATTTCGGATGGTAGTTCAGAAATAACCACTTGTTGCTGTGGGTCTGGAGTCACATGTCGGCCAAACTAGATAATATGGCAGATTTCCTTTGCTAAATGACATTAGTGAACTAGATGGATTTTTCCAACAATTGCTGATACAGGTATTTCTGCTATAACGCGTGTTTTGTTAACATGAATTGGCTGTAACGCAATTGATGAATAGTGGACACCCGTTTGGATAATGCAAACTTTCTACTGTACAGTATAGTGATTTTCTATAGCAATTTCCCTATAACGGGATTTTCTATAGCGCGAGATCACACAAGAACACAACTATCACGTTATAGGAGAATTAATAGGCATCTCACAGAAATTAAACTACACATTAATTACCAAATGCTGAATAGACATTGTCCACGGACTATCAACTTACATAGATTCTTGTTGGGTCAAATGGACATTCATTTGTTACTTGTAAAACATCCTTAGTAGAGCTGAGATGACAAACTGTGAGTAGCGTTCTTCCACCATTGGCAATGGTGATTACAACAGAGACTCCCAGACCCAGTATACAGGCCATGGAGATGAGGGAATTGAGCATACTACTTGTAAAGACAACGTATTGCTGCATAATTAAACAAAAGAGATATTCGTTATTTGTCGATATGCATAAGAATTCATTAAAAGCAATCACTTCTTCTTGAATCAGTAACCTCAGGAATCCTCATTGTTTTTGTTTACAGATCCCTTTGCAGCTAATCTGACCTCCAGAAGTTTTTTTCTTGGTCGTACATCCCCGCTTTTAACATCTGTACATTTGACTCTAGTCTAGTATGCATCTAATCCCCCAGCATTTCCCTCTAACCTACCATCACCGGTACAGTTTTCATTCCCGTAATCTGAAATTCTCATGTTAATGCACAGCAACTTGTTACTTTTCTTCCTATCTTAAAAAAAACACAAAAACTACCACTTTGCTCATCTACTGATCCCCTCGTTAAACTTCTCTTGTCTGTTCAGTGTCCAATTCTCCCTACTGAGGGGCAATTCACTTTAATTTGCATAAATATGCTGCATTAGTGATAGTCTACTTTACAACTACTACGACAGCTACCTGTAAAGGTGACATTAATACAGTAATAAATTTGGCAATTAAAATTAATAAATTCTTCTCACCAGTATTGTACGACACAGATTCCCCGATAACACAATTACTGCAATTCCAGTACAAATGGTCTGAAATAGAGATTTTGAGGTGAATTTAAATCAGTATCTGCTGTGATGGCAGCATTAAACAATTTCTTGAATTGCAGTAAAACAAAACTGGTTAATTAGAAAACAGAAGGGGGATGGAGTTAGTAGTGGCAGGGCTGAGGTAGACATAATAACTTAAAAATTTCAAGTGGGACTCCAATTCAGTCACTTACGGTTTTAACTTACTCAGAGCAGGGAAAGGGAAATCAACCTGTTCCCAGGAGATAATTTAGCTATTTCAATTATATGTGAGATGTGCAGCCTCTTCATGTTATCAGACCTCCTGGTCGGTCCTGTTTCCCAGGAAACCTGGCCGCTGAAATTATGGAAGGACTGTTTCCTAGCAAAGTTAATTAGCTTTATAGCATAGCTGTGGGCCAGGAGAAGCTTCCTCCCAGCTCACTAGCTTGTCTGCTTCTTTGCTTGCATCAGACAGCCTTCACCTAAAGATACCCTATGATCAGAGCCCTGTCCCCACCCTGATTATATTTTCCATCAACAAATTTGAAATACACCCAGCATTGTTTTTCTGATGAATGTTCCAGTGATTTGTAGTTGGAGGCAAGATACACCATCTGAAAGCATAGACATATTAATTCAAGTTTAAATAAATCATAGGTTGGTGTTCGGAAAGTTGTCAATGAGTACCAATATTCCTGAAATTGCAGACATGATATTAGTTACGGAATATTCAACCAAATTGCCATTTGCTGGTGAAGTAACGTGTCGCAGGACTGTGCCATGGATAATTGCTCCGAGAATGAAGTTCAAATGTCCAATTATAATTAAGGCAATTCCCATTTTCATCAGCTGCTTTCTATCCAACAGATTATCTGAAACACAAAGAAATGAAATACCTGTGAAATGATAAGCTGTGCACATTAGTCATTCCTCTCTTTAAAAGAAACAATTTGATGTAGGGATTGGAGGAGCCAAATGGCCTTTCTTAAAAAATTATTCATGTGTGGGACGTGGGTGTCGCAGGCTGGGTCAGCATTTCTTGCCCATCCCTAGTTTCCCTTGAGAAGGTGGTGGTGAGCTGCCTTCTTGAACCGCGACAGCCCATGTGCTGTGGGTTGACCCACAATGCCGTTTGGGGGAGAATTCTAGGATTTTGACCCAGTGACAGTCAAGGAATATATTTCCAAGTCAGGATGGTGAGTGGCTTAGAGGGGAACTTGGAGATGGTGGTGTTCCCATATATCCGCTGCCCTTGTCCTTCTAGATGGAAGTGGTCTTGCGTTTAGAAGGTGCTGTCTGATTATCTTTGGTGAATTTCTGCAGTGCATCTTGTGGATAGAATGCACTGCTGCTACTGAGCATCGGTGGTGGAGTGAGTGGATGCTTGTGGATGTAATGCCAATCAAGCAGGCTGCTTTATTCTGGATGGTGTCAAGCTTTATGCGTATTCATAAATGATCTTCCACCGTCACACAGCTAAATAAAGAAGATTGTATGTCATTTAATTAGAAGGTAACTCAGAGAGTGGTACTGAAGTTTAATTTCATCAACCAGCTTCATTTAGGCCCCCAGAATAAAATGGAACGCTCTCCTTTGCAGCTGCTGTAGGTTTCAGCAGCTCAGCATGCTTTTTGGGAGGGAAAATAAACTTGATTCTAAAATGACCACTTTTGATTTGCTCAATGTGGGATCAAAAAATGGCTACAGATGAGGAAGACCATTTCCTTCATTTATCCAAAAAGAAAAGCCGTTACTTCACCCAACATGTTTTCCAACATGCTCCTATATGACTTAAAATGCCTCCCTCTATAATTCCTATTGAAACTTTATTCTAAGTGTAAATTGTTCTAAAGGTAAAGAAACATTTACCAAACGGGTACTATGCTTATCCTTCACCAGTTTGATTCTAAAAAAATGTGTAAAAAATTGATCAAGCTATTATTGACAGCTGTACCTGCAGTTATGGATTTATCCATATAGAAAGGAGAATGGCGCTGCTGGGACTATTTCCACTACAGTGAAGAAGACTTGGATAAAAATTGCTAAAAAGATTTTAAAACGACCAAGGATATTAATAGAATAACCAGGGGGAAAGATTATCCTGTACATTGATGTTTCTAAGGCTAAACTTTCAGTCAAAAAGTAGGGGATAACTTTTACATGAGTAACATTTTGAAGAAGTTAAAGTTCATTCTCACCCCTCATTTCACTATTGCAGACTTGCCAGTTCAGAAACTGTTCCTGATAACTCCTTCCCCAGAAGTTTTGGACTTAGGAGTCAACATACAAGTGCAAACATGACAAGCTGAAAAACCACCTTCTATGGTGTGCTATTCTATGGCTCTAACAAGTGGATTTGCACCTGGGTGAGCTTGACATCAGTGGCTGGTGGATGGTAAGTACAAAGTGTGTGGATTTCTTGGCACACTTGTCAGGGGTTGACTTTTACCCAAGATTGACCATTTCCATTTTTTTTCAGCCAATGATGAGGGTTCATCAAGTTCAAATCCTCACACTGAGAACAGAGTTTCAGAAACAAATCTTTACCTTGCTAGTGCTGGATATATTTTACTGTAGATAGGTAGTTGGTAGATTTATGACTGAATTTCTGACCATATGCTAAACTGACCTTAGGTATTAAAAACTTGAACAGATCCACATGATCCCCAAATATTCAATTTAAATATTCAACTTGCATTTCCATAAACGTCTTTGTTGCCATGGAAAATGTGCTGATACTTGATCTGCTATATGCTGGTTAATTCAACCCAACAATCAATTGGATAAGAACAGACAGACAGGAAGTATATTCAGTATTATTTTTATAGATATTTATATTTGATAAAGATAGATCACTATGTCAATACCTAAATGAAAGTATATAATGCAGGCTACTGCATTCCTTTCTGTTTACTACTGTAGTTCATTTCTCGTTTTCTAAGGCCTTCCTGTATTTAAAACTGAAGGTTACTATTAAGTAGGTACTACAAATGATTATCTTCGTTGCATCCCATTTATCTAATAATCTTTGTAAATCAGTTAGATGTTTAAATATCCCTATTTACAAATGTCCACAGTGGTACATTGGGAATGAGATAGTAGGAACTGCCGATGCTGGAGTATCTGAGATAACCAGGTGTACAGTTGGATGAACACAGCAGGCCAAGCAGCATCAGAGGAACAGGAAAGCTGACGTTTCGGGTCTGGACCCTTCTTCAGAAATGGGGGAGGGAAAGGGGATTCTGAAATAAATAGAGAGAGAGGGGGAGGCGGATGGAAGATGGACAAAGGAACAGATAGGTGGAGAGTAGACAGACAGGTCAAAGATGCGGAGATGGAGCCAGTAAAGGTGAGTGTAGGTGGGGAGTTAGGGTGGGGGTTGGTCAGTCCAGGGAAGACGGACAGGTCAAGGGGGCGGGGATGAGGTTGGTAGATAGGAGGTGAGGGTGGGGGTTGAGGTGGGAGGAGTGGATAGGTGGTAGAAAGGACGGACAGGTTAGGGAGGCGGGGACGAGCTGGGCTGGTTTCGGGGGCGGGGAGGTTTTGAAGCTTGTACATCTGCTAATGTGGTATACTGTATCTGCTGCTCCCGATGTGGCCTCCTCTACATTGGGGAATCCAAGCGGAGGCTTGGAGACCGCTTTGTGGAACACCTACGCTCGGTTCGTGACAAACGACTGCACCTCCCAGTCGCGAACGACTTTAACTCCCCCTCCCACTCCCACTTCTTGGAGAACATGTCCATCCTGGGCCTCCTCCAGTGCCACAACGATGCCACCCGAAGGTTGCAGGAACAGTATCTCATATTTCGCTTGGGAACCCTGCAGCCCAATGGTATCAATGTGGACTTCACAAGCTTCAAAATCTCCCCGCCTTCAAAAGCCCCACCCCCACCTCCTACCTACCAACCTCATCCCCGCCCCCTTGACCTGTCCATCTTCCCTGGACTGACCAACCACCACCCTAACTCCCACTTACACTCACCTTTACTGGCTCCATCTCCGCATCTTTGACCTGACCGTCTCCTCTCCACCTATCTGCTCCTTTATCCATCTTCCATCCGCCTCCCCCTCTCTCTCTATTTATTTCAGAATCCCGTTCCCCTCCCCCATTTCTGAAGAAGGGTCCAGACCCGAAACGTCACCTTCCTACTCCTCTGATGCTGCTTGGCCTGCTGTGTTCATCCAGCTCTACACCTTGTTATCTTGGTACATTGAGAATTCTCCATTTCTGCAGTTAAAACAGTGCAGCAAGCATGCTGAGGAGACACATACTGACTAGATCCCTTTGCTGAAGGGTATCTGCTGTCTGAGCTTGGTGTTAGTGTAATTGGTTTGTTTTCAGGTTGATGATGAGTCACAATTCTTTCAGCCTGTGTGATTTTCTTCTTGTCTGTTTAGACACGTTGGCTGGGTGTCTAAGGCTTTTCGCCTGGCAGGCAAGTCAAGAACATACAAGTTCCATCTTCATGATAACAGCCAGATAGAACGGACAGAAAATGCTGACATTTGATTCCCTGGTAGTCTGGCTGGGGAAGCTTGAGTTCTCAATTAAGCTGAGAAAGCAAGTTGAATAGAAATATTTGGTTTATTACAATTGAAGATTTCACACTTACCCAGTTGCTAAAAAAATTCTAGTAGTTAGTACTATTGCTTTGCAAGACTAGCATTCATTGATCCCTAAACTTTAAGGAGTTTAATTCAATTTAATTGCAATTAAGTCTAAAAGACATGTAATTGTTACCATCTTTAAAACTTTACCAAGGTGTGGAAATTCACTTCAGCAAGTTGGAATGTTCTGAGTTACCTTGTTTGTTTTTGTCCTGTATTGTATTACATGGGTTGGATTGAAAGTGGATGCTACCAATATCACTCAGTGGATCCATGCAAGGTGAGAATTCGTTGCGTAGGTGATTCTTTTCAACCCTGTGAGAGTTACATCTCAACGTTGCACCTCCTTCTCATTGAGAGAGCAGGAACCTGCATTCCCATCGCTTTTTGATACATTCCATTGGGCCCCCACTGCCAAATGTCTCCCTATGGTAAAGGTGCCAATTGTTACTAGTGCAACATTGAAGAGAGTTATTTTGGTCTTATCTTCCTCACCAAAACGTAACACAAACTGTATCCATAATGCTTAGCAGACCCTGGTGTGTTTTCTGTAATGGTGCTGATTCTTTTAACAATCTTATTGAGAACTTTATATTCTTTATCCAAAAATGCTCAATAAATATGATAATGAGGAGTTTTAGTAATCCAGAACATAAGAAATACTACGTATTTTTCATTATCTGTTTGCGTGATGTGGTTGAATACTCCAGCTTGTTTTTATACATGCTGGACAGGATACATATCACTGTTTTACATTCAGAATGTCACTTCAAAGGTGTTCCTACACAAATTGGTTTCAAAGCAAGGCAGAGCTCTTTAGACAACTGTCTAAAAGTATTTAGCAATGTTTTGTACTTGTTAAACCCTCAGAAATGATGAGGCCATTCACATTAGAATGCATCACTGAATTATAACAATGTTACTGCATTGCCTGCATGGCATTTTGCAATGTATAGCTGTCCTCCCTCCTGAGGCATGAAGATTTATTAGAGTGGTTGTCTGAAATAAATAACTAATCTTTCTATCACATGAGATTACTGGGTTTGACATATGGCAAAAGGTTTTTAAAGATTAACTCCTTTTCACAAAAGGAGAAAAGAACACAAAAGGTTATCAGTACAACCTCAGTACCTTGTTAAACCTGTCAAACGATAAACGCAAACCTCAAGGTGCAATAAAAATAAAAAAACTATTAAATATTATTGAATTAAATGCTAGTTGACTGGCAACTTGATGAGAAGGGATGGGAGTGGAATGGTGGG